AGATTTCATCCTGAGCTGATAAGGCACAAGGTCTTTCTTAGCCTTCTTGGGAAACACTGGCTGCATTTACAGTGTCCTGCAAGGTGGCATTTTCAGACACTGCTTGAGCCACAATCCTGAAACAGCCCCATGCTGCCAATATGTATACCTCACTAGGCCATGGGAGAAAGCATGCGGCTGTCACCTCTCTAAAAATGCTGTGGCAGAACCAGGGCACCCTTCTCTTCTCATTTACAGAGCTGGCCATGCTGTCCCATCACTTACTGGAGCCCTTCCAGGAGGAAGGACGTGTTACACAAGAACTCCATGAGAAGTTCTAGATTTAGAACAACTATGAGTGTGTCTGCAACCAAACCAAAGCTTCCCTTACCCCACAGCCATCAATGAAATGCTGTTCAAGAAGACCAGCAGACACTATGTGACTTTATGTGCATACATCGCACACATCCACAGAGTCCTTTGGTTTTCAGAGGCTATTCCTCCCAAATACTGGCTAACTCATGGTGCCATCCAGCTGCTGGCATCACAACAGCTGTGTGAGCCAAAACCGCCCCATGGCAGACCTTCAGCCAGCAAAGGTGCATCAATTTTGAACTGATGGTAGGCAAAGCCAATATGTCACCATAAGAAAAGACACAGGTTCATCCACAAAGAAAGCTTATCTTTACTTGGTTGGAAGACACTTCTTGGTTCTGCTTTCCAGACCAAGTTCTCCTTAGGCACTCAGATGTATCATGTTGTCCTGGTTTCAGCTGGGATAGAGTTAACTGTCTTCCTAGTAGCTGGTACAGTGCTATGTTTTGAGTTCAGTATGTGAAGAATGTTGATAACACTGATGTTTTCAGTTGTTGCTCAGTAGTGTTTAGACTATAGTCAAGGATTTTTCAGCTTCTCATGCCCAGCCAGGGCACCTGACCCAAACTGGCCAACAGTGTATTCCATACCATGGGACGTCCCATCTAGTTTAGGAACTGGGAAGTGGAGGGCAGGGATTCGCCGCTAGGGGACTGGCTGGGTGTCGGTCGGCAGGTGGTGAGCAATTGCCCTGCGCATCATTTGTACATTTCAGTCCTTTTATTACTACTGTTGTCATTTTATTAGTGTTATCATTATCATTATTAGTTTCTTCTTTTCTGTTCTATTAAACCGTTCTTATCTCAACCCAGGAGTTTTACTTCTTTTCCTGATTTTCTCCCCCATCTCACTGGGTGGGGGGGAGTGAGTGAGCAGCTGCGTGGTGCTTAGTTGCTGGCTGGGGTTAAACCACGACACATGTCTAGGAATATATCTACTGGTTGCTTCAACTGCAAACTGAAGAACAGAACTCTGCGTTTATTTCCTAAACAGATAATCCCACCTTACCTTCTTCCCACCCTCAAATCCTATTCTGTTTCTTATTAAGATCAGGCAGCTGAGAAATCTTGTAGGATCAGATGTTAGTGACTCCCTTTCCAAATTCCCTTGGCCCTGGTTCCTTTATACTCATGCTGTAGCGTGCTCTTATGCTGAAGAAAAAGGACTCTGTTGACCATGTCTGTAGTGTTAGATAATGCCTTTCAGAAAGGGGACAAGGTAAGTCCTGACAAGTATTTTTAGTCCTCAGAAGGGACTGGGAATTGTGTTCTTACCACTTGGAGTCAGTGTTTCAGACAGGTGCATAATCTGATTGTACTGAATACAGTGAACAGACGTAAAAAAAGTCCTTGGACAATCTCCAAAGCTAACCAGCATTGAGCCAAGAATTTGAGTGTTGGAAAGAGCTGCTGGGCAAGATTGGAGGCAAGGAATGTATCTCTAATAGCCATATGTGACGTACTGGGGGGTGTGAGGGAGGGCTGCTGTGTTATGTTAAGGCAATTGCTGAATGTCTGGTCAGACACCCTCAGACATTACTTGGATGCAGAAGGCTACAGGTTTCTCTGGTGGGACTCATGTCACTTAGCATCAAATATTGCCAACTACTCAGTAAAAATATAGCATTGTTAGCTTGTTGACACTTAACTTCTTTGGGAAGCTCCAGTTAAAGATGATATTTTTGGTTTGGTTTAAGTTTTTTGTTTTCACTCTACCAGTCTCTTGTGGAGACATGGGAAGCTGAGACCTGGCTCCCTTCTTGTTTCAGAAATTCCAACACAGTTTGGAGGTCTTAGGGAGGAGAGAGAGTCCCTCTGGCCAGCCTTGGGAAGCTTTTAGGTGATTGTAGGAAACAGTGGAGAGGGACAACATTTCTGAGGCCTAGATGTGTTCCTTATGAAAGTGCCTTCAGTTCCTCAAGTGCCGTCAGATATTAGTAAAAGTCATTTTTCTAGGTAGGTGAGGAACAAATCAGGTGACATTTCAGCAGCATTGTAAGGCAGAAAAGATGGTATTCAAGTTGGGATGCTTTGACCACAGCAGTCATAAGGAACAAGCTAATGTGAATGTGGATGTGTCCACATTGGGAGTGTTGGTTGACAAGAAGCTCAACATGACCTGGCATGTGTTTGCAGACCAGAAAGCCAACCGTATCAAAAGAAGCGTGACCAACAGATTGAGGGAGGTGATTCTTCTCCTCTGTTCTGCTCTCATGAGACCCCACCTGGAGAACTGTGTTCAGCTCTGAGGCCCCAAACATAAGGACATGGCCTTGTTTGAGTGAGTCCAGAGGACAGCCACAAAGATGATCAGAGGGCTGGAGCTCCTCTCCTATGAAGACAGGCTGAGAGAGTTGGGGTTGTTCAGCCTGGAGAAGAGAAGGCTCCAGGGAGACCTTATAGCAGCCTTCCTGTACCTAAAGGGGGCCTACAAGAAAGCCAGAGAGGGACTTTTTACAAGGGCATGCAGTGATAGGACAAGGGGTAATGGCTTTAAACTGAAAGAGGGTAGATTTAGCTCAGATGTAAGGAAGAAGTTCTTCACTGTGAGGGTGGTGAGGTGCTGGAACATGTTGCCTAGAGAGGTTGTGTCTGGCCCATCCCTGGAAGTGTTCAAGGCCAGGTTGGATGGGGCTTTGAGCAACCTGGTCTAGTGGAAGGCATCCCTGCCCATGGCAGGGAATTTGGAACTAGGTGCTCTTTAAGGTCCTTTCCAACCCAAACCATTCTATGATATACAAAATGATATGATATGATATGATATGATAATATATAATCATTGCAATTTGACAGCTCCATGTCTTGAGCTTAAAGGTTAAGCAGAGCTCTTTCAGCTATCCTTTTCTCTTCACACCCCTAATTATATATCCTGTGAAAAGAGAAGAAAACCAAAGTTCATGCATGTTAAAACCCTCAGCATTACCTTATGCATCTCAGCAAAGACAGAAGGAAATCCCCTACATGACTGGGAATTTTATGAATGGTGATCGTAACTGTAACTTTGTATATGGCAACTCTTAATTTGGTTTGTGCTGCCTTTCCCTTTTACCAGGAAGTTTATAAAAAGCCATAAGAACCAAGCCTCTAGTCCTCTCCCTCTGTGCAGGCTTACTTGCTCAAGGCTTCCTCCTCAAATGTCATTTGAGAACAAATCTGGCTTGTCTACATCCAGCCTTCTTTCTCCACAGCTCCCTATTTCCATGCCTGGTTTTCAGAGATGCCAAAAGCATTGTGATTTTCCTGCTCAGAAGACATTGCATGCTTCTTCTCAGCAATGCTTACTTACCAGATGACTCAGTAACTTCCAAAAACTTCATGCTGCTCTTCCTTCCTCTGATCTTAGCGCTGTGTAGTGATGCATATGCTTCTGGCATCTGTAAAAACACTGTATCTGCCTAACACAGCTAGAGCCTCCTTTAAGCTCAAAAGCAGAAAAATGTATGCAGACATTCTTCTCTGGGCACAGAATTTCTCTATGACATAAAACACAGATAAGCCTCACTTACAGAAGATAAAAAAATCAAAGGAAAGTAGTTGTGCTAGAAGAGATAGAAGTGGAAAAACAGTTGCAATGTATTTGGCAGAAGTCATTATTGGACATACAGAAAAATCATTATCAGTTCTCTGCTCGCAGAGCTCCCCAGCTTCTGACTTCTTACAGGACCTGATCCTGGAATCTGGGATGTGGCCTCTAGGAAGAAAAATATAAAACGTTGCCCACAATACAGACAGATTGACTGTAATTTTGTTTCTTGAACAGAGTGTCTGCTCAACTCTTAGCTTTGAACTGTTAAATCAGACAACCAAAACCTGGAGCAAAGCATCTCAGCCAGCTTGTCTTTATGTAAACAGCTGCATAGAAACGCACCTTGATAAGTGAGTCCTACTGGTCAGTGTGCCCATGGGTGTTTAACTAGGATTTGAGAGGAGGATCCTTCATACTGGCTGCTCTCTAAGTATTTCCGTAGTGAATGTGAGAGTTTCTCTTCCTAGCTTCTAAGCAGAATTGTGTTTCTGACTAGAGTGGTTAACCTGGGTCTTCATATGGTAAGTGATCGGATTAGGAAGACAAAGCCAGTGTGTGAGGGTTCAAGTCACATATAAATATGTATGTAAGACAAGCTAACATGCACACAAAGGGGAAAAAAGTGATTTGAGCCCTAATTCGTGTAGGTTATAAGGGCAGAAGAGACGTTTCATTCTGATGGTTAATTACTTCCATGTCAAACAGATACTATGATCATGAGGGTAGAAGTTAAATTGATTAGGGTAATTAAGCAAAACGTACCTCAAAACATGCCTCTCAGAAAAAGAAAGAATGATAGATACGTAAGGTAAGTCAGTCTTCAGTCCCTCAGACTTCACTCAGAGACAATTTATGTCCTATGACCCTTTGCAAAGCTTAAGACATAAAGAAAGTGACTGAACCGAATTAGTAAGCAGTCCTGACAGTTACCAAAAGGTACAGTAACTTCAACTACTGAGCAATTTAAAGTAAATCACTACGGATATCAGTGAATTTTTTGTAACACCTGCCCCTGCCAGCATTTTAGCAAGGTAGTCCAGTGTGACATCCCAATGCAATAGTTTTACTGTGAAGTCTTATTTTTGTTTTAATCATAATATTTCTATTACACTATTTTTCAGGCCCTGATTATATCAAACAAAAATTTCAAGAAGGAATGGAGGTGAAAGAAAAATCTGAAGAAAAAGTTCAGGACAAACCGCCTACCCCAAAAGAGTCACCTCACTTTTATCGAAAAGGTACTACACCCCCTCGAACCCCAGAAGCAAGTCCAAGGCATAGTCCTCCTCTTTCTTCTGAGCCTTCTCCTTCAAAACAACTGAAAAGGCAAAGCTCCACTTCTGGGGCAAGACTCAGTCAAGAAAAAAAGCTTTTAGCCACTGAGAATATAATACCCACAATTAACAAGCCTTTATATTCAAAAACACCAATGAAGGAGGAAGTAGCTGTGAAACACCAGCCAAAGTTTTCAGCCCATCACAATCCCATCAGCACAGAGAATGGGGAGCTGCATGATCACTACCATGGCTATTATGTAAAAATGAATCCAACAGTGCTTCCACAGGAGCTCAGGGAAGAAGATGAATATGTCAACCCATCACCGTCAACACTTGCACGGATACCACCCTCACAGAAGCCAAGTCCTGCTAGATCTGGGGGTAAGCCAGATGCCAAAGAAAACAAACCTGACACAAAAATTAAGAAACCAGAATTTGCTGCACCAAAGAACCCAGCTAATAATGAGTCACATTCAGCAGTGGAAAAAGAAGTAGAAAACAGCTCGGTGAGTACTGCAAGAAACCTTTTCACTTTCACTGCCTTTTTGCCTCCTAGTACTGAGCTTTGTAACCTAAAGACAGGTAAAGCTCACTTCTGACAAATCTTCATCTGGATACAATCTGCTAGTTAGAACCCACTACACCAGACTGGAGTAAGGAACAAATACTCCAGTCCTTTATATTATCCTTTTTGAAAACTGGGAAGGGATAGTTGATAGCCAGATACTGACAGACTTTTGAGACATGAATCCCTATTGCATCCATAAACACAAAAGTGTGATAGTGTGTGTATTAGTGTGTGTATGTATGTATATATGTGCGTTTTGTGTGCGTGTAGATGCATATTTGCAGATACATATATTCCCCCTGCCAAAACAATGTTCGTTGTACTTCAGTGGATAATTGGGCAGTACTGGAAGTTACATTCATGCTCTTCCCCAAAGGTCTACTTTTGACTACTCTTGGAGACAGGATGCTGGCCTGTGGTCTGACCCAGTCCAGAAAATCTCCCTTTTCATTGTCTTCTCTGTGTTGATTGTAGGCTCTAAAAACAGGCAATTTGCATCAAAATATGAACTGTTTTAAAATGTATACTTCTAACAATGCTTGCGTTTTACAGTGATGTGAAAAATTTTACTTTTTTTCCATCAGAAAATGGAGGAGTTTTAAAACTATACATTCAGATCAGTGTGAATCAAAATCTCATTATTATTTAGAAATAATAGAACTATCAATAGTTACACAGAAAAGGAGAGATGACTAATAGCATTTCTATGCCATGTTGGGAGAAGAAGCCACGTTATCGAATTCAGAATCTATGATGATGATAAAGTTATTTCTGGTCCAAGAGAAACTCAGGAGAATGTTAGTTGTAGATTCTAAAGTTAACCTTTAGCAAATGAAGAGGTCTAGATAATTGTCATAATGTTTCTTTTTTATAAGCGTTGTTTCTTTGAATCATTTTTGGTACTCCAGTAGAAAAAAAACAGTGTGTCATTATTGATGGGATAAACAGAATGACCCATATAATGAGATCCAGATAGCCTAGCACTGATCTCAGGCAAACAGTTGAATAATTGACACCAGTCTTCATTAATAAAGTAATTAAAAATAAAGAGGTAAGAATTTCCAACCAACATGCATTGTAAAAGATCTTGTCAAACAAGGCTGACATCTTCAGGTGTAACAAAGGAATCATATCCTCAATGAAGAAGGTCACTTGATTTGCTTTTACACAGTTAGTTATTCTGACAAGGAAGCCAGAGTAATGCAAAGGCTAAATGTCACATTAAAATAATTTTTAAAAAAATGACTGATGGTTCTCAAAAAATAATTAGAAAAACATCAGTAATTTGGTATTATTTTGGTGAGATCATTCTTAGATTAATTCTGCTGCTCTATTTTATTAACATTCTTATTAATGACATGGAAGAGGACATAAAAGTATTACCCATGAAGTTTACAGAAGACACAGACACCAGGAAACTGATAAATAATGAAGACAATAGATCATCAATACAAGCTGATCCAAATCACCTGCTAAGAAAGATGCAAGTATAATTATCCATGTGTAGTGCAGCACAATGTAAGATTCTATATTGAAAGACAGTTAATAGAGCCTGGCCATGCAGGATCGGGACTGGAAAAGGTTGGTGGATCAGGAGCAAGAGAGGCAACTGAGCATGAGCTCCCAGTCTGTTGCTGTTGTTCAGAGATGTTAATATAATCCTTAGATTTATCAACAGGAAAGATTAAGCAAGAGTACATGGGAGTCTGTTTTATCTGGTTTTGGCACTGGTGCAACCACTTCTGGAATAAAATACAGTGTCCATAAATCAGGGATTTAAAATGAAAAAACCTTAAGGGGAAGTCCCATGAAGAGCTGTAAGAGTGATTAAAACATATCTTATAATGAAAGATTGAATGTAAAAAAATCTGACACATTAAATCACTTTCTGTAAGTACACTTTATAAAATAGTTTCCCAAGCTAACAGGTAAACATGTAAGAAGATCCAACAGCTGGACAGATTTAGATAAAAGTCATCTTTTAACTTGCTTTTAATGGTATTAATTAAATGTAACATCAGTTTTCAGATGCTGAGTTTTTGGTACTGTCACTGAATAGTTCAATAATGAGCATTTTGTCAAAATGATACCCTCTAGTTCAGCAGGAAGCTTATATTCTGTTTTGTGCGGATCAAAGTAGATGTTCACAGTGGTTTTGTAATCTGCAAATCTGTAATACAGCTGATATCAGCCCTTTAACCTTTCAAATCTCACAGATATGACTCCTATCTAGGGTAACACAAAGCTGTCAGGCTTGTGAATGTTGAGTGAGCGTGCACAGAATTTTAGCCTGAATTGGAATTTTTTGTTTGGCTCTGGTTAAAATAAGTGGCTAGAAATAGTCCTTATTTTTCCTACATTCCATCCAAATCAAATAATGGTTTAGAGCTGAGGGAGTCTTCACTTTAAGAAACCAAGTAGGGCACCTAAACAGTAGTTTACTGACCTTCTAGAATAATCAGGATAAGGACTGTGAACCTTTGGCTTCTTACCAGGAAAGGTGGAAAAATGATGAGATATTGTACAGTAGCTGCTGTTTGTTTACTGATACTATAGGTCATCTGGGAACTGTCCCTCTGCTTCATTTGGAGCACCCTAATTGCGTTATTCTTATTATCAGCATTTCAATAAGGGAGGAAGGTAGAATTTAGGAACTCATTTTTAATATAATGGTATTTTAAGATATATGTAGATGTATGTGTTTTTTTCAAAGATGTCTTCCATATGTGTCTATAAATTTGCCCTTATAGAATAAATTTCATACATGCTTCTTCCTTTAAAATGCTGAAATGAGTAAAAATCCTAAAACAATTAAAGCAGAAAGGAGTAGAATACTGGCCTATCAGGCTGAGGGAAAGACTTAGTACAGAATGACTGTTAACACTGCCTGGAGACTTTTCTTTTTAGTTTTTAGTATCACCTTTCAACTTCAGAAAAATAGTAGCCTATTCTGCCAGTGGTCCTGGACTGAGCGCAGCAGTGTGCTGCAGTTACACAGTGGCTGCGTAACCTAAGAGTGCGCAGTTACTGAGGAGAAGTCTTATTAGTGTACTTCTCTTTATCCCAAACACTTCTAAATGTTGAGAGACTTCAGAATTCTAGGGCTGCACTGGGGAATTATTTTGTTTTAGTCAGTAATTGCAATTGCTTTATAGTCATCCTGACAAATGATTTTGTTGTGGTTTGAAAGTAAACCTGCCTTCAATCCTTCATAGAAGGTTAAAAATATATTTTTAAAGTCATATAAAGAGAAAAGAACTCTCACTCTCATGAAAAGAGAATGAGAAAACATGTTTCTGGAATGCAAAAATTAATCTATAACATTTATTGAGCACTTTCATTAGATTATCCAAAAGTGCTGTATAAAATTGTGCTGTGCTTTTTCCAAGTTTCCAGTGATAATGCATTAAGAACATAGATACAGAATGTAAGATTTTCAGTTCTTCCTTCTATGTATCTAAATCAAAGCCGTTTCTCACATCTGAATGAAACATAAACTTTAATTTGGATTAATAACTTTAAACAACTTTATTTACAGAAAAGTCTGCAGCAGCTGTTTTAGTAATCAAATTAATGTTTCATATTTTCTGTGAATCTGTTACATCCTTAAGAGTGTCATCTGTGCAATATGTTAGTTATAGGAACAGTATTGTTCTCTAGATATCTCTAGATATCCCCATTTCTGGCATTATACTTGAAAAATATCAGCACATACATCTTACACCACACATATAAATGTGTTTCTCTATGTACTTCTTTTCTAATGTTCAAAAATCAGTTTAAAATCATTTCAGAACTCATAAGAAAGAGTCATAGTTTTATCAAGGTAAAAACATGCATAAAGCATGATGACAAACTCACCATTGGTCAGCTGCTCCAAAATAGTTGCCTGTTTGCAGGCATTTACCCTAATAAATGAGACGTAAATCATCCTTTTTTCACTGACAATTAGGCACCTTCAAATTACCTTATATTTGCCACAGTGTGAAGTGTGCACAGAGACACTTGACCACAAACCAGTACTAACTGTTGTTTCTAATTGCTTGTTAGCAGCCTCTAGCCCCGGTCTCAGCGTGCATGCTGCTGTCCCACCTTGAATATGGGCTAATTTGAGATTGTCTTGGATTTGGGTAAAAAGGAGAACTGAATTGCAAAAAATACCATTGTAGTGTATATTCATGAATACACATTTTATTTGCCTGATATGCGTCCATGTGTTGCTAGGTCAGGTACAAGCCCAGACACAAGTGTTCTACTATATTTTCATTTTTTTCATTTTGTAGGTAAAGATTTTTAAGCCATACAGAGTGTTTATCCTGGTTTTTACCTGTATCTAAAATCATTACGTTTTGCTGAATGTTACCCAGTGTGCTTCTACTCTCACCTCTTTGCTCATTTAACATCCATTTAGTAAGGGGTATAACTACCATGATGTTAGAAAAATAGATCAGCATTTGCCTGACCCTAAAAAAACCTCTGAGCAAGAACTTTATGCTAAATTTAATAGGCATTCCTAATGCAATGGGATTACAAGACTAGTCTTGATACTTCCTGGCACTACATTTTAGGAAAATAACTTTCTTCCCTCCACAAATGAAAACTAATCATATGGTTATATTTTTAGCTACCTAAGTGTCTGACTTACTAGAAGCTGAAAGGGCAGTTTTTAAGCAGGACTGGAGTTTTTCTACTACAGCTTCTTTAGTGCACCTGTTCTGGTCACTCTTGGACTGTTCAGACTAATTTTGACTTTTGCTATTTTAAGCCCTTGCAGGACACTGAAGTCGTATTTATGGCATTTGTCTTAAAGCATTAAATGCTCATTTCATAGGTGTCTACAAAACAGGTAGTAGTTTACTGCATAATAACCATGTGCTGTACAAATATTGTTTGATCTTTTTTTAGTACATCAGGAAATTCTGCTTTGAGCTGAAAGTTGTAGTTAATCAGAAGAGGAAGCAAAATTCACATAGCAAGCCAAAGGAGATGAGATTTACTTCTTTGTATAAGGCAAAGATCATTATCATAAACAGTTAACACATTTTTCTTTGATCTTCATATAAAATCAACAACCCAGTTCTTAAGGTGTCACTTTCTCCTGTCTTTGTAGATGAGATTTCTTGATTCAGACTATAGCCCCTAGGTTTTTTAGCCTACTTTATCTAATTTTATTGTGGTGAGATTGTTATACCTAACTTGACTGACAGATGCATTAATAGAGAAGTCCCCTCCCCCTCCACCAAGCTTATTTCTGTAATACTGTGCACTAATGATACTGAGTTGCTGTTTGAGCTGCAGTCCTAAATTGCCATTCAGCCAAAAGCTGTCTGGCAGCTATCAGGATGCTGTTTCAGGACATATTTCAGGTAATGAATGAGTTCCTGGCTCCTCTGAAGTCCCCATAAGTCCAAATTTTTCTTCAGTAGTAATAAATCAACTTGATTTCCATGGATGTAATTTTCAAATATGCAAAGCATTAGACGGCCAAATCCCAGTGAATTTTAGCAGTATTAGGCAATGATCTCCTTCAATTCCTTGCAATTCCTGGTGCAGTATAACTATAAAATCTTTAGGTGCGATCCCAAACTATAAAGGAGCTATTGACCTGATTTTGATCAAACAGGGAGTCCCTATTAGAATCATAGAATCATGGAATGGTTTGGGCTGGAAGGGACATTTAAAGATCATCTAGTCCATCCCCCCTGCCATGGGCAGGGACATCTTTCACTAGATTAGGTTGCTCAAAGCCCCATCCAACCTGACTTTGAACACTGCCAGTGGTGGGGCATCCACAACTTCTCTGAGCACTCTGTTCTAGTGGCTCAGCACGGGAAAGAAAGATGCTGAACCCAAATCTTAGTGGAAATTAATAGTGTAATCATACTTTCTGTAGAGAGGTATGTAATATTAGCATGTACATACTATTCTGGTTTGTCATGAGAGTCAGGGATTTTTTTTGCAAAAGAAGTTGTTAAATGGAAGGTTCACTCTAAGGGTGTTGACACTGATATTCCAAGACAGCAAAACTGAGAGATTCTCAAAGTAGCTGTTGTTTCAAGTAAAACAAATTCTATTGCTCAAAGTCTTCCAATATGGCTTTCATGCATAAATTTCACAGTTGCCAAGTGCATTTGGTGAGAATCCTGATGGGAACTTGGATTTCCTTCACAGTAGAAAAGCACAGAAGTAGCCAGCACAATTGTGACCATGCAGAAAGAAAGAAATTAACCTTAAGTTACACACTACTACAACAGCAAGGCTGCTTACAGTGCTGTGGTCAGAAATGTAACCATATCTGGAGTCATGCTTTCCTTTTATGCCTGTTCTCTGTCACCAGGTGTCTCATATTCTTTGGCACATAGTGGCTCACTTCCAATAAGAAGGAAGGAACGTGGTTCCGCTTCTTTTCTGTGACCCAGTGGTTAAAACATACCACTGGTAAGTGGGAACTTGTTATTCAAAATCCCTTTGACTAAGGTGACCTTAAACCTAGTCTTCAATTTCCTAGTAAGTATTTTAGACATTCTGCTGTTAAGTAAAATGTGAATGTTTCTGCCAATACCATTACCCCTATGGCAACATTTAACTAGCATCCTGATAGTCCCAGTCATTGTTTGAACTTGAACACCTAGTTCCTCAGCATGTGAACAGATACTTCTGAATAGGTGCAAAGGGAACTTTATGGATAGAGGTGCTGGTTGGGTTTAGACTCCCCAGAGATTTAAGGAGTACTTGCCATAATATATTTTGTGACTTTTTCAAGAACTTAGCAGTACATATCTGGCCTGCCATATTAACTACTGTGTAAAGGTGTGTTCTGGTAGAAAGTGTTTAATGAGACTGTTTCGGGGTGAGAGCATGTGATATAGTAATGACACAAGTCCTATTCAACAGCTTCCCAGTTACACTGCTGCAGCAAATTAATAATAGCAAGTTCTTACACCTTAGCATTCCAGAAATTATATAGCTAATCTTAGCATTGTCATGAAGCATAATGAACTTCTGCAAGGCATGCCTTATGTGGAAAGAGAAAAAAATTATGTCATTTCTAATGAAATATTTACCTTCTTATGCAAGCCAGTGATCCTTACGTATCTCAGAAGATAGCTTTCTGCAGAGATTTTTTGGTGGGCTTTTTTGTGATTTAAGAAAGTATTGTCTGAGTGAAGAGTTTTTCTGTTTCTACTTAGAGTAAATGTGCAACCTTGAAATATAAGCGTATACAAATATTTGTGAAAATATGTTGTAGTAAACCAAATACATGAAGAGGAGAACAGAAGAGAATTTCCATCTGTTCAGGACATTATTTCAAGTTGCTCATTAGAAAGCATCCGTGTTTTAAAAAATTTATCCAAAATTGCTGAAAAGAATTAAAAACTTCCTTCTCTGGCTTCACAGAAAGACTAAAGTTATGTAATGATTAAGTTTTCTAACCAAGTTTAGCTCTAGCTAGGAAGGGAAAGAGTATTTTGACTTTTCATTTCTTCAGTACATAGGTCTGTAAGATAAGTGTCAGAGTAAATCAAAACGAGTTTAATTTTACAGGTGTGAAATTGTTTTTTAATCTGTAATGGAAACATTGCTAGGTATGTTAGTGCGATGGTAAGTGACTTTTTTTTCTCCTTTTGGTTATGAAAACAAGGGTATTCTTTTCATAAAACACATTGTCATGTCTGTTTTGAAATGGGTTGGAATTAGAGAAGGAACCTACTGTAAGGGTGAAGAGCAGTGCTCCGGCTTTCCTAAAGTAGTTCAAGTTCTTTGTTTTACTTTATTTTAAGCTGATATTGTTTTTGTGTTCATGGGTTTGTTTTCATTTGTTTATGCAGTCGTATTTGTCAGATGGTTTAATCTCAGTGTAATTAAGAACAGTGTAATAATATTCTCTCACCTGTATTTATCCAGCTCATTTTCACAATATCATTGAGATGTTATTCAGCTCACCTGAATACCAAGGATAATGGCTATGTTTAAGGAGCAGAGTCTGTATTTTTAATATTTAGGTAATCTTTCAGAGCAAGGTCAAGACCAGTAGAAATTACAAAGTCAGGTCATGCTCATTGCTGTGCAGTGTGGAAGGTTGCATTAATTCTGGTATCTTTATTTTATTTTCAGGGCCCTAACTCAGTCATGATCGCACTGGTAATGCTGTTGAATATTGGTTTAGCCATTCTTTTTGTCCATTTTCTAACTTGATTGGAATTAGGAAAGGTAAGAAAGGTCTTGTTTTCATATAAAATCACCATATCCACCCCACCTCAAATGATAAAGATTTAATTTCTTTGCATACTTTTAATGTTCCCTACTTTAATTTTAGCTATGCCTGAATGTGATTCAACATAGTTATTTAATAATGTAACTGTTTTGACCCTTCAGTGAAGTCATGACAACTAGTGGTGTTAGCCCACAGTTCTCTGCAGTTGTGTCATCAGCCTTTTAAATGGCACCTGTCATACTCAGACACAGGGAAGGAGGCTTGGAATTAGGATGGGACGCAAGAGAGATGAAACTTGGAAAATTCAGCCAGGGGCCCAGATCAGTTTCTCTGCTGATGGCTCGTGGCTTTGGGGTCCTCTGAAAGGTGAAGCAAGCAGCCATGTTGGAAAACAAACAAAATAATCTGCTGAAGCAGCCCCGCCAGTGAAGTGCGTTGGCTTCTCCATCTGTTCCAGCAGAGTGTGACTAAACTGGAAATGTACGGAGCTGCACTTTTTGTTGATGGAAGCTAACAGCTGCCTTACTATTTTACCGTCTGATGTTTTTAGTGGGGAGATGGGAAAACGACTGCCAGAGGAATGTGGTCAGAGGATTCTGTTGCTGTGGAAGTGATTCCAGCGTTCACTCCTATCTCATTAGAAGAAATAGTTAGCAGCATCAGTCACCAGTCTTATTCCATTACCTGCTGCTTTTAACATCTCCTGCAGTGTTCTGGGAGATTGAATTTCATTTGCCTGTGCATGATTCTGTTCATTCGTTGTTTATGAAATTTGATGTATAGCCATAACATAGTGTCTAGTCCAACCTGGAGAAAGCTACCAGTTCTGCCTAGCAGCAGAAGCAGAAAATGAAATGTCTTTTTCTAATCCGAAGATAAAATTCTTAAATTCATTTTCCTAAACTTGAAGAGCCGATTTGATTTAAGGTTTAGTAAGTAATGTACCATGACTGCAAAACTTAAAGATGTTGATATCTTCCTAAAAATGCTCAAATGCTTATGCCAGTAGCAAGCAAAATTTTTCATAATAAAAGAATAAGAATCTTAAGTTGATATCAGCACATTCTAAACAGGAGGTGGAATATCAGAATAAGCCAAGAAAGATGAGATATAGGGTTTGCATGTTGACTTTTTTTCTTTTTTTTTTTTTTTTTTTTTTTTTTTTTTTTTGGTGCTGTGGTAATTGGTGATTTGAATTACGATGTTTCAACACTGAGGTATTTTGCCAGCGGTGAAAATAAAGTCTTGTCTGAGTGCACATTAATGCCAATGACAGTTAAGCTAGCTAATGCTCATAATAAATTATAATTTTAAATACTAGATTTGTGTTGAATACATTCAGGTAGAGCGTTGAGAAATGTTAAGTGATTGTTTATCGATTTGATGCCTTCAGTGTCTTTAAAGTCCATTTATGATTTTACCTCAGCATTAAAAAAGCGTCAAAATTTTTCATTTGGAAAGTTTGTCTTAAGTAGTTTCACAGCCCTTTGTTCAAATGATGTGGTCATGTTTCTTTTTATGTGCCATTATACTGTAATTATTGTACCCTATATTAATCAAAAGCATGCTTATTTACTGAAAATATGTGGTGTGATCATTTGGCAAGTAAATATTTTAATTGAAAGCTACAAAAAGCAAAGGGCTTGTATTACGGTTTATTTTATCGCTATTAGAAAACCTTTCATACAATATAGTTTTTGAACCTGTTTGTAAACTTTCTAAGTGTTTGCATGGTTTAATGGGCAACATTCTTACAAAGTACTTTAGCTATCTTTTGATGCAGCATATTAAAGTAACATAGGTAGGGACTGAATATTGTGCAGCGAAGCAGCTCTGAGCAGGGCAGTAACACCGTGGTGTTTTTTACAGAAGTATGTTGAGAATCCTGTGTTTTGACCAGTGTGGATAAAGAAGAAAGCAGAAAGAGAGCAAATGAAAATAGAACTTGTATATTTATTTTTTAAAAAAGTTTAAATTGTGTTTTAAATTTAGGAAAGTAATTTTTAAATAAGAACAAAATTTTACAAGTTACTGTGTAAGCCTTGATATAATGGACAAAATGTTCCATCCAACAGTGAAATCAGACCCTGTCTCCTTACATGGAGAGGTAATTTTTGTAACTGACATATTTAATTCCTATTAAATGTTTATTTAAAATACTTTATGCTCTGGAAATAATGGGTAACAAAGCTTATGAAAATGTTTATAAATTTAAGTAAGCATGTTAGTACCATTTATAAATATGTATGATTTATAAGCTTTTTTAAAACAAAGCTCAAACAAATTGTTGGTATTTTTCTAAAATGTGCACAGCTGTATTTTACATGAAAGGCTATTTATAATTGGTTGTTATACTGTACACTACATTTTGGACAGCACAATGAAGCCTGCCAATGTACTTAATAATGTCATTTTGTCTATTTAAAGTTTCTTGCTGTCAAAGAATGAACTCTTTATCTTTGAGTTTCTCTATTTATAATTCTTGACCCAAAATGTACAATGTACAGTTTTCACAACTGTATTTGCTCTAATAAAAATAAGTTGGTTATTAATAGAGTTTCAGACTAGTTTTTCCTGTTTATGAATTACTTTGTTCACTCTGGAAACAATTTTTCTAACAAATTCAATAAACAAGGAGTGAAGCAGGAAGATGGGTGAAGTCCTGGCCCCTTTGAAATCATTGTGAGTTACTGTTTTCAACAAAACGATTCTGGGAAACAATTAAAAGTGGTAAAAAAAGAGGAAAAAAAAGTCAAGTTTCCTTAGGTGTCTTCTACCTTCTGATACAGGATTTTTGTATCATTATAAATTTAGCATCTTAAATTATATTCCCACTACAAGGATGGTTTAATCAATCTTGTTTTAATCAGTGAGTGACTGGTCCATTAACAGCTATTCTTGTAAGTGAATCAACAACTTCTTTAGACTTCCGCCCTTCTCAAGGTCTTCATACGTTCAAAATTAGCATGAAGTTTGTGAGCCAATATTCTACATAGAGAAAATTCACCATTACAACTGTCTTAAAGCCACCGCATTTGCTGAACTAGGAAATCAGCTGAGAATTTTATTTTCTGTGATTCCAGTTCAGATTACTAGCCAACTGTACTGAAATCCTAATGTTTAGTTGAAAAGGAGAGCAAGTTTTCTTAGTAGTTCCTATGTAATGGAAACATGGTTTTAGGAAGTAATTGTTACTCTCTTATTCTTTAAAATAATTCTACCAGCATGAGGCTTAACTTTAAGAATTTGTATTTTCTATGCAATAACTCACTCCCTGAAGAAAATTTTTGGCACTTCAAGTAGAGAAAAATACATTCTCAAGAAAAATAAGCAGAAATAACTATAATGCCAGAAAATTTTACAGTCAAGTTCACTGAGACAACTCTTCTTTGACATTTTGTGATCCACGTTGTATAACATGTTCAAGAGTGAAAGGAAAGTTGACATTAAATATTTCTTAAGTTCTACAAAGGTGATAATATACTCAGGCATATATTAATCTTAACAGCAACAAGCAAAGGATTTGCCCAGAAATAGAAGAAAAAAAAGTTTTCATAGTCAGCTGAGAAATACGACAGCTTTCCCTGCCCATCAATGTTCATAATTCTCAAAAATCAACATGTACATAGAAATACAACAATTTTTCTATGGTGCCTGAAAGCAGATCTCCTCTGAGATGTTTTTACTGGTGGTTTCTATCAGTTGTAAACTTATAAATGGGTTTATGTGGGAATGCATCTGCTATGCCTATGGGGAAAAAATACCCATGGACACACAATGCAACTTAATGTTCCAAGACTTGCTCTAGCATGGAAAATTTTACACCACTTAAGTGCAAGGAAATTTTTTCCAAAGCAAAGTAGTTTCTCCTGGCACAGTTGTGGTTTTGCCCACAGATGCCAGTAGGCAGTGAGCTCTCACCTTTGAATTTGCGGTCTGGTTTCTTCAGCAACTCCATTTATCTGTTTATACAATATATATAGTATACACAGAAAGACAGCAAATGAATGATGTTGAGGTGCCAAAGGCTGAAGAAAAAAAATCATCTGTTATCATTGCTTTTTAGTGTATCTAGTCCTTTCTCTACTCAGTATATCTAGTCCTTACCTTGCCTTTCTGTCAGAAAAGCAGTAAGGAATGCAGAGTGTGGAATCTTTTGCATTTGCTTTCCAAAAGGAGGGATTCAGTTTAAAAGCAGAAATTTCATGACATGACTACAACTTGCGTTTCAGATACAGATGGATGTTAAAAAAATCATTAATACAACTGAGTGCTGCCTTTAAAAGGAGTAAACACCTCTTTATGAGCATTTGTTTAAAAGTCTTGAAATAGTTATTTACATAACTTCTAATGACACATTACATCTCTATTAAAAGCTCTATTAAGATACAGTTACACAATATTAAAAGATTCCGACAATAATGTGGATGCAATGATAAAAGCCTGCAGAAATGTACTGCTCATTGAGCTACAGTAACTTTCTTAGTTGTTACTAATAAAACATGGTTGTGAATGATATCTAAATGATTTTACTCATAGCTCATTTGAACCGTTTGGTCAAGGAAGACAGTTCTATGTACCATTCTCCTATGGAAATGTAATTCAGTAAACAAAGCAAATGAAGAGAAGAGAAAATAAATAAGCCTTTCAAATGAAGTAGTCTTCTCATTCTCTCATTTTAATACTCAGAGAACCAGGAAAAAATAGAAATTATGTTAAGTCTGAGCAAGAAGCTGTGGATGCCAACATGCTGTAGCTGAGCCACCTACAGCATCCATCTCAATTTTTTTTTTCTACTGGACGCAGAAACTGCAAAATAAGAGACGTTACACCTCCTACCATTGTAGGAGGTAAATATAATTTCCATACCCAACATCTTTAAGAAAAACTGTCTATAATGTCAATGGCTTTTAGACTAGGAGGAAAAAGTCAAAACTTCATCTGTCTAAACAGTTTATGTTGTGACCATCACTGTAACAGCTGAACAAATCCCTCACCCCCAGAAAACCAATAACAAAAATGAAGCTGGTAACAGAATTTGTTTAAGTCTCTCATGTTTCTTCCTTTTCTTTGCTAGAAAGAGGGGAAAAAAAAAAAAAGCAGGGAACAGATGACTTTTTTTAACCTGATAATCTAAATTTCATCATTTCAATATGTGTTTGTTGCAGCTAAGGTTTTTCACAGTCACTTGGGACTGGTTATCTGGGAGATTTTAGGTGCAAAGTGGCAGGATATTGAGTGCCAGTTCTCCAAGAGGAAGGTCTTGAATTTTTTCCAGTGATGGAAAAGAACAGGATTTTCCTTATCACCGTTGAAATAGTGGTGGTTGTATTTTTTCTGGGTTTCCACTATTTTTTTAATTACCTTTTATCTTTCACTGCCCACCCAGCCCCCAACACTAGAAAATTCAACATACTCTTCTTTTCCCCACACACAGCCATTTGTCCCCACACTTCCACCACTTCCTCCAGTAACACATGCTTTTTCAGTTGAGCATGCTTCTTTAAGCAGCGAGTTTAGCTTTCTATGGCTATGGAAACCATCTCTCTTGCAGTTTGACCTACGCCGAATTGCATGTGTCATGTCACAATTTTCATTTGGTCCGGTTTTCTGCATACTATTGATGCTGGTTTATGCAGCTGTATTCTGATTTCAAATCTATATTCGCTATTTTCAGTGTCAGGACAGTGATTTAAACACAGTATGTGGGAATTGAAGAGAAGAGAAAAGAAAATGACTGAAAACACTATACACAGATATTTCTAATGGCTCTTAGTAATTCATAGAAACCAACATAATGCTGTCATCATTGAGAAAAAAAATCTTGTATCAACTGGGTTATGAACTCCACCACAACTGTCCACAGCAAGATTGTGAAAAAGACTGGCCATACAGCTGAAGCTGATTCTCAACTCAGAAGACAAGGAGTC